ATTGGGTCCATGTGAAGACCTTTAAAGGCGAGGATGATGAAGACCCAGTGGAATGGGTCGAAGCCTTTGAAAGGGCCGCCGATGCAAACAATTGGACCCTGGTCAGAAAAATGAAGATTGCATCTGGACATTTGGCCGAAATTGCTGCATCCTGGTATCATGATAACAAAGACCACCTCCTTTTCTGGGATGACCCTGACAATGCTGAAGATAGCTTCGTTCAATCCCTTATCCAGTACTTCGCAACACCGGAACGAAAGCATTTATGGCAAATTGAATTAACTACAATGAAGCAAAAAGAAAATGAAAAAGTAGACAAGTACTCTTACCAATTTAAGAAGCTCTTAAAAAGGGTAGACCCAGATCGACAAATACCTGCCGCCTACGTCGTCAGAATGTTTATGGGGGGCCTTCATGGAAAAACAGCAGCCCTAATGTCCGTAGAAGATCTTGCAACGCTGGATGAAGCAATTGCGAAAGCCAGAAAGATCGAAGCCGGCAATTACTATGAAAATAGAAATAGTAAAGGACCCAACGATCAGCTAATTGACGATTTAACAAAAAAAATGCAAATGATGGCTGCAAACTATGAAAAATTAACCACCACGATTGCAGCTAGAGCTGAAATTAGCCCCCGCCAGTTTCCACAATGACAATATCCACCCCAACAACCCCGCAATGAAGACATTGAATGCTATAATTGTGGAGAGCGAGGCCATATAGCTAGGAACTGTCATTCTGAGCGACGTCGAAGCTCCCAACTAACAACTACAAATCCTAATCGAGTCATAACTCCAGTTAGAAATGTCAACTTATGTAATGTTTATGACCATGAGCAGAATAATGAAGCATACACTATTAAGCGTCGGGAAAGACCTGAAACTGACACTAATTGGGATGAAAGACTAAGGAAAAGGGTTGCCCAGGACCCAAATCAGCCTACTCAACCCACCCCTATGGAAGATGTTGCTACAGGACCATCTCAAGATCTCGCTCAGCCTCAGCCTGAAACTTCTAGTAAAATAAGACGCAAACGTGGCCGCTCAGTTATAGATTTGATACCCCCTTATAATATTGCAGAAGATATTCTTAGCCAACGCACCAATGCCACTTATGCACAACTATTACAGGTTCCTAGGCAAAGACAGAATCTAGCCCAGGCTTTACGACGCCCAATTATCCCTATTGTCCCTATAGCAGAAACCACAAACTTTGCAGAAAACAAGCCCAGCCAGCGTACTACAGCGGCTAAATGTTATGTCCGGGTTCATAATAACCCAATTCTAGCAGTTTTGGATTCGGGGGCTGCAGTTAGCATAATTTCCATGAAGCTAGCAAAGAAATTAGGGCTTACTATTACAGAACCCTCTAACACAATTGTCATCACCGCAAATGGAACCCGAGAACGAGCATTAGGAAAGCTACCAGGAGTAAAATTGGCAGTACAGTGTGTACTAGTTCCTACGGACTTTCAGGTCATCGAGAACCCCGAAGAAATGATGCTTTTGAGCATGGATTGGTTCCAAAAAGTCCGTGCCCGCCTGAACTTCGATGAGAATAAACTACTCCTTCGATACCTAGGAAAACAAATCGAAGTCCCAATTTATCAAGCAAAAGAGGACCATGTGGAAATTACTACAGATGATAACGATGAGGATCATGATTTTTTTGATCATTATGAAGAGGAGGAAGCTCTCAAAGAAGTAGAAGGGTATTATACAGATGATGCAGACGTAGATAAACCGCCTATTTGCCATGACAGGTATAATGATAATCCTGCTGTTTACTTAACCAATATAGAAGAGGTTCCGACCCTAGATAGCGACTACCACCCAGAATTAACTACAGAAGGCACAATCGAACAATTGATACCAATAAACACCTTAAGTCCAGAACAAGAAAAGGAAGCTTTACTTATCTTAAAAGGGTATAGTGGATTATTTTCAACAGGGTTAGGTAAACTAGGGTACGCAGCTGGAATAGAACATACTATAGACACCGGAGAATCTAGGCCAATCAAACAACCTGCATATCGAACCTCCCCAGATGACCAAGACTTTCTTAACAAAGAAATAAAAAATTTATTGGATAATGGACTCATATACGCGTTGAAGAGTGCCTGGACTTCTCCCGTAGTAATTGTACCCAAGAAAAATGGAAAATCCCGATTATGCGTGGATTATAGGAAGCTCAATGCTGTAACTAAAAAGGATGCCTACCCCCTACCACGCATTGACGACCTGCTAGACCTGTTCAACAAGTCAAAATGGTTCCCTAGCCTCGATTTGGCCAGTGGGTACTGGCAAATCCCAATGAAGCCGGAAGACCAAGAAAAGACTGCATTTGTCACGAAGCAAGGGGTCTATGCCTTTAGAGTTATGCCCTTTGGCTTGTGCAATGCACCTGCTACTTTCCAACGTGTCATGAATGACTTATTACATGGATTCATCGGGCAATATGTTGCAGTATACCTGGATGACATAATTATATACTCCGAGACCTACCAGGACCACCTAACGCACCTCAGGAAGGTCCTCGACAAAATAAAGGCAGTCGGGTTAAAGCTGAACCCTGAAAAATGTGAACTATTCAAGGACAATATTAGTTTCCTGGGACATAATGTAGGAAAAGAAGGTATCAAGCCAGACGAAACTAAAGTGGCCAAAGTTAAAGAATTTCCTATTCCCGGTAATCTACGGCAACTTAGGGGCTTTATAGGCCTTGCCTCTTACTACAGGCGGTTTATAAAAGGCTTTGCTACTATAGCAAAACCACTACATAAACTGTTAGAAAAAGGCGTGTCATATGAATGAAGTATAGAACAAGACCAAGCCTTCAATTTGCTAAAAACCCACCTCACCACAGCTCCCGTCCTTAGATACCCTGACTTCCAAAATCCATTCTACCTTTATACTGATGCATCAGGTGTCGGGCTTGGTGCAGTACTGGCCCAAAAAGATGAAAATAGAAAAGA